ACGCGAGGCGGCGGGTGGAGGGGCGGCCGCGATGTTGGCCCTTCCGGCGGCCGTTTTATTTTCTCCCGAAGGCGCGATTGGCCTCGTCGCGGCCGGGGCGGGTGGGGCGGCCGGGCTCTCAGTGCGCCCCCCACGAGGGGGGGTGCCGGGGCAAAGCGGTGGACCTCGCGGGGCTGTTTTCCGTCTGTGGGCCCGTCCTTCGGCGGGATGCCTCCGCCCCGACGTTGTTTTCCCGCTCGGCCCGACAACAGGCGACGAGTTCCCGCCCAAGCGGGGCCTCGGGCTTCGTGTTAGGGGTCTATCAACGCCTGCGCGAGGTTTATCGGGAAAGCCCCCCCGACGCGTTCCCGTTCCAGGCCGCGAGTTCTCGCCGGGGGGCCGTCGAAGCGGCGAATCCCCGTCCAAGCGCGAAGCCGACGATGGCGAACGACGAAACGGATCCCCCGACGGGACTCCGGCGAAGTACCGGGGTGCTTCGACGCTTCGCGCGGTATCGTCTTCGCGAGCAGCTCGACCAAATTCGCCGCGGCCATCTCCTCCCCTCGCGTTCGTTGTTGGAGGATCTGAACCTCCTGCCCTACGATTTGCATGTTTGGTTTTACAGCTACGACCCCTTGCCCAACGACAAAAAGCACCGCTCGTTTATGGAGCCCTATACCGCCAAGCGCAGCGTGAAGCGATTTCTGCTGACGGCGGTGAAGAAGTTCTGGGGGTCGTTCTTCGCAGGCCGCGACGAGCCTCGCCCCGGCGAGGCCGCCTTTTACGCCGCCGACGCCGCTTTCGAGCTGGGCGAGCGGCCCCCATTTCAGTTTCACCCCATCGGCGCCCACAGGGACGGCAATTTGAACCCCCACATCCACAGCGCGAACACCCTGGACGATTGCGCCCCGGCGGGGTTGAATTCCACAACGTCCTACCCCCCTTTCCCCGGGATCGGCGGGAGATATCCCGTGCAAGGGGCGCGATATTCCTCCCACGCGGAGCTTTTTTCGTCCTCGCGTAATCATTTTTACGACTTCTCGAACGAAAAGCACTTTCGCGAGGCCGCGCCGTATTATTCCGTCTGCGCGCTTTATATCACCGAGGAGGATCTCATCCTGCGGGCCGTTCCCATCGCGGGCGATCCCTCCTCGTCGCCGTGTTCGTCCTTCTCGCAGTTCGTTCCGCCTCGTTCGCGCAAGGGGGAGGGGGCGAAAGCCCCCAAATCCTCCTCCACGGCGGGGAGGGGAATGCCGTCTCCCCCCCTCCACGAGGCCGACTTCGCCGTTCGAGCGGCGGAAAGACCGGAGGAGCTCGAAAGGGCGGAAAAGGCGGAGGAAAGGGATGAAAAGTTCGCGGAAAGGGCGGAGATGTTTGCCCTTCCGCGGATCGCCATCGCGAGCTTGACGAAGTACACCGTGAGCCGCCCGACCGACGGCGTGTTCCCCGCCCAGGCCTTTTTCACCTCGACTCCGGGGGTTGAAGGGGGGGGCAGAAAATCCCCCAAAGAACCCGAAAAGGACAAAAGGGAAAAGGAAAAAGGGGGAGGCGGAAGTGTTTTCTGCGGCCCGCGGGGGCGGCCGCTCGGGGTTTCGCCCTCCGCGCAGTTGTGGAGGGCGATGCCGGCCTGTTTGCGGACCTCCTTGAGGCCGTATCTGCGAGCCCTGGAGGCCACAAGGCTGGGCGTCGAGAAGGAAAATTCGACCCTGACGGAGGATTTCGCGGATGTCGAGGAGGAATATGCGATATGGCCGCTCGAACTTCAATCACAAAGGAGCCCCTTTGCGTTTTCCCGCGGGTTATTAAAAGGAAAAGGGCGGGGCTTTACCCAATTATCATCCATTTTTAAACATTTTCTGCCTTTTCAATTGCCGTGGGTCTTCGCTCGAGGGTCTCCTCTTTCCCCGCCACAGACCCAGACAAAATCGATCTACAAGGCAAATCACTCCAGCGGCAGCTCGAAAGCGGAGGTGTGTGAGGTTTTATTAAGGATCGAATCATTTTCTTTTCAGACGTTTTGGCTGGAGTTCGCGGATGAGGAGAGCCTTTCGTACGTGTACGAGCTTTTAAATCGTCCTCTTCAGCCGCGGAAGGCGTTTGTGCGGGAAATCTTAGCCCGCCATCCACAAAATAAAGAGGAAAGGGAAACTGAAAAAGAAGAGGGGGTGCCAAAAGGACCAATGGTGAAAGGTGTGGTGGAACAAAGCTGTCAAACTTCATTCATGGCGGCAGGACTGGACGCTATTAACAGCAAACCTACCGAAAAAACAATTATAGACACCTCAGGAAAGGCATTTTTGGGTGATACCCTCGAGAAAGAAGAGGAGATGATAGTAGGCTCAGCGGATGATTCTCCATCTTGTGCGTTTCTGTCACCGCCTGAGGAAAAGAGTTTTTCTTCTTCCTCTTCGTATTCCTTTTCTGCGGTTAATTCCTCTTTCGGGAGCTTTACACTCACCAAAGAAGATGAAGAAGCGAAAGAAAAAGAGAAGGCAAAACGTGAATTTTATCGTTTAGATTGCGTGTTTCCGCCGCGAGCGTGGATTTCTCGGACGTCCTATTTATTTTACCCGACCACGGGGAATCGCCACGTCGTGAGTGCTCGGAGGCCGTGGTCAATGACGATGCTTATCCTATTAACCTGCGGAATTCTTCCATCGCCGTGGCCAACAAACGAAACTAAAAAGGGCGAAGAAGAGGATTCTTCTTTTCCCTTTTCGTCTTCTCGTCGGGCGTTGTTTTTCCAGCAGTTTCTCAAAAATGTTGCCGTCGCGACGGCTATTCAGACTTTATACTGGTCCGGGGACGAAGATGAATCCTCAGAGGAAAAAGACGCACACGAAGAAGCGACAAAAAGGGGCGAAGACGACAAAACCGAGCGGAATAAAAACGAGAAAAAAAAAGAGGAAGAAGCGGGGGATTCCTCTCACAGCGACGTCTCCACCTACGAGCCACTTTACCTCTCCATCTCACCTCCCATCGCCCGCATGGCGAACAATCCAGAGGAAAAGGTCGCGTCGGAGATAAAAAAGCCGGAGTTGAATGGCGAGGATGCCAACGATGGAAAAGGTCAACGACGACGCGGCCGCGCGATGTGCTCGCGCGATTCCTCGTTTTTATGTCCCGCCTTTTCCTTTTCATTGCGGGGGTCTCTGGCGGGGAGTTGGTGGGGCTACGACGCGAGGCGGGAATTCCGCCGTCAGGGCCTCTGCGATGGGGAATGGTGTTTGGCGAGCTTCAACCGCGGCCACGCCGCCATCCCGACCTACCCCGAGCGCTTCGTCCTTCCCAAAGATCTCGCACGCCTTCTCCGACGGGGATCGATCGACCCGAATTACCGAATTTCGCGGCGGATGGAGGCCGCCACGTATGTGTTCCCCCCCAGCGGCGGCGTCCTCGTGCGGAGCGCGCAGCCCGCCATCGCGCGGCACCTCGTGCGGAATTACGCCCTCGGCGGGGCCTCTTCCCCCCCTCCCCCTCCTCTTCCTTCTTCCTCTTTTATTCCCCCCCCGCGGGGTGATTCAGGGCCGGTTGAACGCACTCCCCACGCGAGGACGTCTTTTAAGGCCCCTCCTAGCCCAGAACAGGGGGGGGCTGCAGCAGAGAGGGATCTAAGAGAACAGGAGCTAACACAGAGACACGGGAGGGAGCCGGGACAGGAACAGGAGCTGACACAGGAACCGGAAGAGATAAAGGGACGGGGGGATGGGGAGGATCCCCGGTCCAGGAGGGTCGGGAAAGCTCCCCCAGCGTGGATGCCGCCTCGTTCAAGTGTGATTTCGCGGGTATTGGGGTCGCTCGCCGCAGCGGCCGGCCTCCCGCGGCGGCGGCTCGTCGTCGTTGATCTTCGCTCGCCGCCGGCGGCGCTCGGCAGCACCATCGTCGGCGGAGGCTCCATGCGCTGGTTCGACGAGCGCGTTGACTTCGCCTCGCTGATGAACATCCACCGCGTCGTGGCAGCCCACCGCGGGCTTCGCCAGGGGCTTTTGGAGGGTCCCCTTCGGCAAGGCGGTGGGGGGCCGGGCGGTGGGGGCGTCGGTGGCCCCGCTTTGCTCTGGGAAAGCGGAAATCCCCCTTACCTGGCGGTGATCGCCGCCGCTGAGACCGCATGCTCTGATCCGACCATCACCACCACAACAGAACTCTGGAAAGCTCGGCGGGCGCCGCGGGCGCGTTCGCATTTGGCGATTCCCGCCTCCCACCTCCCCCGCGAGAACGTGAAATTGACAATAAAAAAGACCGACGAGAAAGGTTCTATGGGTGGTCGTGAAATTCGCCCACTTCAGTCGCCAGCGGGGCATCGATCGCGTTCCTCTCTGGCTGCGGCTGCGGGTGAAGGGGTGGGTCCGGGGACATCTCCTTTGGATATTCCTCGATCTCCACATTTGTCCTCTCCGTTTTATGCCTCTTCTTTGCACCCGTCTTCGTCTTTATACGCGTCTCAGTTTATTCTCCCGCAGCTCTCGCCGTGGGTGCGTTCTATACATATGTTGTTGAGTACGGCAATTTTCGCCGCGCGGCGGGTGAGCGGCCTGCCCGTGGATCCACTTTACCCTCCCGCGATTTCGCATAACGGCGCCGCCGCGAATTGCTTTTCGCACGTCGTCGGGCATAATTTCATCGGGGTTCATTTATCTCCTAATGAAGAGGAAGAAGAGAAACCCGTTATGGGGGGAAGATCGGCAAACGATTCACCGATTTCGACAAATGATGCGCCCGTGGTCGGCGGCAAACCGGTAAAAGGGAAAAGGGAATCAAAAAAAGAGGAAAAGGAGTCCGATGGAGAACTGAGAAGACCTCATTTTGCTTCGTATATTCCAGAAATTCACCGCACGCTCGCGCATGTGGTGTTGTTAAACTGTTCCGACGGTTGGGATCGAACCCCGCAGGTGAGCGCACTTACGCAGCTTTTGATCGATCCATATTTTCGCACCGTGGAGGGTTTTTGCGTGCTTTTGGAAAAGGATTTCGTCGCCTTCGGGCACCCTGCGCGCTGGCGGGCGACCGCGATTGCGGGAAATCGAAAAGCATCCTTTCCGGCGATGAGTACGTCGTCGTTTTCGGCATCCGCGCTTTTTGATGAGTCTTCTGAGCTCAATTATCGCGCGGCGCCTATGCAAGGAGGTGATAATGGAGGGAAGAAGCGGCAAACAGGCAATCCGACAAATAAACTCCCTCGAGATCCTCCACCCCTGTTTGGAAAAGACGATTGGGAGATGTTATGGAAAGCGCAAAGAGAGGAGGATGACGTGAATGGCGAAGAAGATGAAGAGGAAGGGGAAGGGGCGCAGAATGAAAATCCATTTTTATTGGCAAAGAATGGACATCGTCAAGGAGCCTCTCGGCGGTTACTTCGCGCGGTGCGGGATGGGAACCGTCCAGTCGCGGAGGTTCCCCCTTCCTCGATGCTTTTTACCTCACAAGAGGCCGCCAAACAAGGGCATTCCCCCATTCTTTTACAGTTTTTTGACGCCGTCTGGCAACTTGTTCGGCTTTACCCGAATTGTTTTGAGTTTACCGCGTCTTTTTTGCTGTTGTTAGTGGATTTAATTCACGCCGGGGTTGTGAGCTCGTTTGCGGTGAACTGCGAGGCCGATGTGGTGGCCGACCACGCGGCGAAGGGCTGCTTGTCGATAAGCCAGTGGTGCGCCCTACTCCTGGCGACGACGACCTCGTCTTTGCGCCCGACAACGAAAAGTAAAAGTGGGAAAGAAACAGGATGGGCGAGGAGGCCAACACGCTTGCGAAAGGGTGAGAGATCCAATCACTCCAGCGAGGATCCCCGCGCGGCGCCAGAGTCGTCCATGCGTGTGGGCGAAGATGGCGCCGTTGGTGGGGTTTGCTTTCAGGCGGCATCGCCATCCCCCGCGGAGTACGAAACCCTCACCGAAGAAGAAGAAGAGGACGAACATATTCAAGACGGGATAAATCCTTTCCCGTGCTGTAATCGCTTTTGCATTTCAGACCACACTCAACTGGCTTGCTTTACCAAGTTTGATTGCAGTACGCAGCTTCCGTCGTGCCGAAAGACGCCTAACGAGGAGGCGGTTCCTGACGGTATTATCTTCCGCAGTTTTGTAAAGTGTCGAAAAGATTACACGAAAAAAGGGGCTCTTCAGGCAAACAAAGCGCATGCTTTCCCGAATCCGTTATCTTTTCAATCTCCCGGGGTGCTTTCCAAGACCTACGATACCAATACTACCTCTCCTTCTGAGATGGCGGTGGCGGAAGATGGCAAAATCGCAGCGATGGGGAGGGAGGAGGAAGAGGAAGAAGAGGAATTATCCAGCATCCATGCCAGTCATAGTAGCAGTAGCGCTATGGAAGATTTTTCCGAACGGCTTTGGCCCGTTTCACACGAGGCGATGTTTGATTCCGGGTTTATGAACCCATCCTTTTCACTTGTTTATAACATAAAGGCAGTAGGGCCTCTTGTGGATGCAATTCCGCTCGCGCGTTTAGCCCTTTGGGAGGATTTTTTCCTTCGCCATACCTTCTGGGAGGAGCGGCGAACGCAGCTCCGGCGAGGATGGTATGGACAGCCCTCTATCGCGACATTAACATCGTATAGCGATAAACCCAAACAAACTGATACGTACGATTTAACGCGTATAAAGGAGCGAAAGGGGAAAAATAACCCTTTTCGTGCTTCAATGTCTGCCGGGTTGGTAAAGAAAAGGTTCTTAGAAGGTTACTTTAGCAATGAAGGAAGAGGAGGGAGTGAACAATCACCGTTGAAGGATATATCTTCAACGGAAGCTAAAAAATATGAACAATGTAAAGGTTTATCATCAGTATCACCACCAAATTGCGTTGGAAAGTCTTTTCTTGATTTCCACGTTGCTTCTGATCTTGATGAAAAATAAAACATAAAAAGTGCTGCTGCCTTTCTGTAAAATATAAATGACTTTGTGAAAGGGAGGGTAATAGGCAAAGAATATACACAATATCAGCTTATTTTTACCCCCTTTCACTGAAGGCTTTTTTTCAAAATTTATCTCTTTATTTTAATAATTATCTTTACAGATATATACCTATTTATTGTTAATAATGGATCTGTTCTTTCCAAGTTTATTACAAAAAAGGGCAAAATGTTTGAATAAGAATGCTGGTTTATCGATGACTATCTTTTTGTCATCTTGTTCCTTGAAAAGAAATAGCAATATCGATGTCAATATATTCTGGGGATATTTTTTGAATACGTATTTTGGCTATTATGCGGGCTTTTTCTGTTCCTTGATTCTATTCTCTTTTCTTTAGATATATGTCTATATATTTATGGATAGCCATACAAATACACTGTCCCTTACCTATGCAAGCTGGCGGAATGAACTCGATATTTTAGCGAATTTAGCCCGCACAATGCGAGGGTTTGTCCAAACCTACGCCACCCCCGGTCCACATTCCTCCTCCTTATCCTGGCTTCTGACGTTTGTGCGGGATCCGGCGGAGGTGGATTTATCCGAGGTGGACCTCACGCGGGATCCCCCTTTTCAGCCCTCGTTGGTTCCTTTTCCGGCCTGCGAGGGAGGGATGGACGGCGGGGCGATTCTTCATTTGATTTTTGCCCGCGTGGATCTTCTTCTTCTGCGGATTCGCCAAACCACGCGGCTTTCGAAATCCCCCAATGCGCGCGTCTGCGAGGCCCAGACGCTCGAATTCCGCGCGAGGCTGAACCACGAGGCGGGCGACTGCCTTCGCGAGGTGGGGGATTTTGTTTGGGGGGAGGGCCCTTCCTCCCCGGGCCCCGGATTTCAGTTGACGATGCTGACGTTTATTCAAAAAAATTATATGCCCTCTTCGGTGGGGGGAAAAATGGGTGCGCTGGGGCGGATTCCCCACGATTGTCGAAACCCCGCGGCGATGGATTATCCGGGAAAAAAGCCCGACCACCCCTCCTTTTTTTCCCCCGAGGAGGCGGAGGACGGGAGGGAATTTCGCCGTGTTTTCCGCTGGCAAACCGCGCTCCGACAGCGGGCGCGGTATTTTCGCCTCGCCGAGGCCCACGACTACGCCGCGGCGGCCCATCTTTGGCGGCGAATCGCGGCGGAATTATCGACGTTCGCGATTGTCCCCGCCGCCGGGGAGGCCTTAACGCGCGGAATTCTTTCCACCAGCGCCGCGTGCGGAGTTTGGATGGCGGATGGCATCGCCCCCGGCGGGGAGGAGAGTCCTCTGCCGGGGTGGATTCACCGCGTTTTGCACAGCCGCCTGCGTGTTTGCCCCGACAAACGTCAAACGCGGCGAAATCTCGGCGGGGGGAAGGCGCGAGCGGCGGTGTCGACCGCCTCCGGGGCGGCTTTTTCTGTAGGAATTGCCGCTGTGAATGAGGAAAAGGAAGAGGTAGAAGAAAGCGAGGAACATCAAGAAGACGAAGGTGTCGCCTTGGGGAAGGGCGGCGGACTTTCCTCGTCGCGGGAGCGGACCACGCCGCGGCAGCTTTCGATGGTATATGCCGCATTAATGTCCTTGGCGACGACGCTCGAGCAGGATTTTGGATGTCTGGACGAGGCGGTGAATTTCTACGAGCTCGCAGGGCTGGTTTTAATCGAGGAAAGCGCACCCTCTCAACGGCGGACGCCATCCCGCCGCGCGGGGGATTGCTTTTTAAATCCCACAGGCGACGTAAAAGCGGAATCTGACTCGCTCGCCCCTCGATTTCGCCTATCAACCGAAAGAGAAGGGATCATCTCCACTCGCGAGGTCAAAAAATTAAGCCCCCGGCGCGGGTTGAGCGACTTTTCCGGGCTAACCAACAGCCTCGCGCAGGGGCTTCGGAGACGCCGACAACGCACCCTTGCAGGGTTGTTCACGCGTTATGGGATCGATCAGCAGCTTCGCCATAGCGGCAATGGTTCCTTTTCCTTCTCCTCGCGGCGGGTTCCCGCCCTCTTAGACGATCATCCATGGCGAACGCCCCTCGAAAGCGCCGCGGTGCGTGAGGGGAGGTCGAAGGGAAATTTTCACAAGGATCCCACCTCGTCGACGACGCCGGCAGGGGCCTCGCCGCCGAATCTTCTGACATGCCTCCGACAAGGGCGAAATTTTTCTTTTCACGATGGCATCAACACGAGCGGTTATTTATGGCTTTTTTTGCGTTCAATGCGGAAAGCAGCTTTGGTATCAGCAACCCTTGGGGATTATCCGCGCGTCTTATTATACATCGAAGCTGCCTCAAAGGCGCTTTCCGAGGAGGCGCAGAAAGCTCAAGAATTACAAACAACATCCACTTCGAACGTTTCTGAGGAGGCGAACGCGTCGAGCTTAGATCTGGAGGGGTTGCTTTCGTTCCGACCCCCTTCATCGCCGTTGTGGGAAGTTCAATCACGTGGGGAGATCACTTTTTGCTTGGAATTCTTATCCGTGGAAGTTTTTTTCCTGCTGCTTCGCTTTTTGGTGCTTCTTGTGGTTGATGAAAGCCATCTTACCGTCAACGCAAAGCACCCAAGAGATGGAGACGACGATGTAAAACGTTGTAGTGGCGGCAAGGCTGCAGAACTGGAGGAGCCCTCTACACAAAGCCATTTTTCGAATGAAGATACCCAACCGCACTGCGGAAAAGGTCCCATATCCACTTCTCCCGCCGCGTTAGCGTCTTTAGAGGCGCTGAAAATCTTAGAAGCAAGGGCTCGAAAAATCGAGGCGGCATGCATAGTGGTGAATCTCTCACCCGCTTCGTTTGAACCGCTTGCGCGAAACCCGGAGGCGAAGGAGGGGGGGTCGGAAGAAAAGACCATCACGCCGGCAAACCCACCCAACCTTCGAAAAGCCCCACATTATGGCTACTTTCCAATGCCTGCTCGGATTGGTAAAATCTCGACCACGCTGACGGGCGGCGGCGACGCCTCCGGGGGCTTTTCTTCGGGCGAAAAGCCATCGACGATGGCGGGCGCGAGGGCAGGGAGCCCTGGAGGCGTCGTGCGGGGTGCCGCGTATAAAATATTAAAAGCCCATGTCCTCGCTGAGGCGGCGGAACCACGGCGGCCGCCGGGCGCGCATTCGGCGATGTCGAGCAAGTCCTCGAAGGGGGAGGCGTCCTCTTTAAGCGGGGACGATGACTTTTCCGGCGATGGTGGGCTCCCGTCATTGTTTCGATGCAGCCAAGAGGGCCCTTCAGGGGAGCGGACGCGGGTCGCGGACTGGGCGAAATGCCATGGCGGCTCTGTGAGTGGCCGCAAGGCGGTAGTCGAGCTTAACCGCGCTGTGGAAAACGGACGCTTCGAAAGGCGAACCTACTGCGATATCTTAAATGAGCTTTTGGGGGTGTTGCGCACTCTTTATACTCAAGCCACACAGAGCTGCCCTCTTGCTGGGTTGTTTGTCGAGCAAGTTGCACCTCAGGATGAGGGTAGGGAGGGAATGACGAATAATCACGGCGGGGATTCCTGGAATATCGATCATCGGTTTAACGAAGGATGTCCAAGCGTTAAACTGTGTGGGGACTGTACTGCTAGCTTAGGGGAGGGCTCTGCGTGTGATTACTCAAGAGCACCGAGTAGGGTAACCAATGATCACACTGAAAATATTCCTAGAGTGAGTGCTTGCACGTCATCTACACACAATGATTATTTACAGCGTATGAGAGAGGCAAGAGAGATCCTTACGCGGCAAATGGATAAGCTTGAGGATCTTTTGGTTTATCTGGGGTTGCGCAATAGGGTGTTTTTGATGCTGATGCGTCGATTACAGCGAAAATGGTGTTATCCTAACTTTTCCTCGACCCCTTTCACGTTTTCATCATCCCATCGAAATGAAAAGAAAGCATAGAGTATTGGAATGGATCATTCTGAAATGATGAAAATGGAGCTAGCGTGTTTGGAAGTTTCGTTTTGATATTCCTGTATTCAAAAGGATTGTGTTCAATTCTTCACCTGTTTGATGCATATTATTCCCCTGTGCCTGTGGTTGGAATTCGTTTCCCTCGTTGAGCGCCTTTCAGAAATAGGTAACAGTTAGGAATGGGAAAGAGAATACGTATTACTGTACATTCTTTTCTCATGTACTTCTATTTCCTAAAATTTAGAATGAGCACAAAAGTATATAATGCCTTTCACTATCTTAATACACATTTTGAATGATTTATAGATTATGGGCTTTACTTTCCGTTTTATTTTATTATCATACTTTTATAGCTTATAGCTTAAGAAAATTATAATTTATTCCGCAATAAATTAATAGGATCATTAATACCAAGGATATCTTTCCCAAAAGTTCTCGGAATCGATTTTTCCCTGGCCATAATTCTAGGAATAATCATTATTAGACAATATTGTGAAATACCAATACTTTTTTTTGTAACAGTCTTAATCTTTATACCCACTAGTCAAAAGGGTGCCTAAGAATAGGATTTCATTGCCATCATTTGCGTTTTTACAATTAAATAAGATTTCCCCCCTATTAGTTTATTCTTGTATTGTTAATTTGGTGATAAACATTTGCACACATGGCAACTCGCTATCCTGTTAATCTTCAGCAGCAGCAGGAGGCAGGTCGTCTAGGCGGTGGGGTTTCTCAACAGGCTGCCCCTGCGTTTTTTTACAGCCCACAGCCGCTCTACAGTGGCTATCCCACTCAGTTGACCCCTCAGCAACTCTTCGCCCTTCAGCAGCAGCAGCAGCAGCATATCTTTTTACAGCAGCACAGCACCGCTGCCGCGCAGCAGTCCTATCACCACCACCAGCAGCAGCAGTTCGCGATTTCTCAACATCAGCAG